AGTATTGATGGGGGTTTCTTTCCAAACCTTTTCAAGTAGAGTGGAGTAGAACATCAACATACTGATTATGTCATTATTTTCTCAAGTTATGTGTTATCCATTTTAGTAGTTGCTGCTGTTGGAAGTTCTCAAAGTTGAATAAAATGAAATTAAAATACTTAGGAAAAAAAAAAAATGAAAAACTTCATTTTTGTATAGAAAAGAAAAAACAAATGGTACTTTTCTTTGATATAATATCAAAGAATGAACCAATCTTAAAACTCAAAGATTTATTCACTGTAGTATTCTTCAATCCCTAAATAGAGATCAGAAATTTAGTAATCAAATGTCAAGAGAAAAATCAATAATTTATATGACCATACTTAATTAACACAATCATGTTGATACTGAAGAGAGTCTTTCTCATTCCAGATCTAGCCAGGCATACATGAGACAGACATTTTATTGTTTCCAGCAAACAACCAAAACCAAATTCATGTAAAAAAAAAAAAAAAAAAAAACCCACATAAAAATGTTTATTATACAGCCAGAGTATAATCCTACCAGAATATATTCAAAATATTTTATTAAAGAAAAATATGCACTCTCTGGCAGGATTTGAACTAAGTTACTTTCTCTTTTAATAAGCGTGATATTCTTTTTTCTTTGGCAAAACTGGCAGCTTGTATTCTATGAGGCAGCAGGAGAAATGACATCATGGGAATGCATGTCACACGGCTCAGCGTCCCACCTTGGATGGTCTTAGCCGATTGCTAACCTGGGTGGGGAAAGTGTGTTGATACTTTAGAATTCTTGCGACCCTCTGTTGAATTCATGCCATTTTGGGTTTATATCCAAAACCCATACAAAGGCAATCGATTGTCAGAATATCATGCCCATGAGGCACTCCAGCCAATTACTGACCATTCTCGCCCTGACCTTCATATATATAATATATGTTTATTTATTTATCTCCTTTTGTATATATAAATGTAAACAAATAAACCTTTATATAGTGATTTTCCAAGTGTAACTTAGATGTGGCACAAGGCTGAAAGTATGGGAGCACCCAGTGAGGATCAAACTTACTACTCAGTCGTGACTGTTCTAGCGAGACAAACTTGCTAACTATTACACCACGTCAAGTTGCCTAAACAGAGATTTACTTGCCCCCTACACCAAGTCAGGTTGTGACACAAGGTCATTTTTTAACATGGGGACCCAAGTGTTTTCACTCGGGCCACTGTCCAAGATGTCTTAGCTAGTTAAACTGTCAGAGCCAGTCCAATCTAGTCATAGCTGTGATACTACCAGCGCAGGGATAGATCCTTATACCAGATAAGTATCAATGATTTTCTAAGCACAGCTTAGATGTGGCACATGGCCAAAAGTATGGGCCACCCAGTGAGGATCGAACTCACTATTCAGTTGTAATTGTTCTAGCGAGACAAGCCTTCTAACCATTACACCACACTGAGGTGCCAAAATGATTTTCTAAGCATAGCTTAGATGTAGTGTGGGACACCCAATGAGGATCGAACACATTACTCTGTTGTAATTGATCGAGCAAGACAAGCTTGCTAACCAATATACCACTTTGAAGTGCCTCCTACAAACCTTTATATAAAGTTCAAATGAAATGAGAAACCTCTAATTTGACAGACTTTAAATTGTACGATCAATTAATATCCTCTTAGCAATAATGTAGATATCAGTATGACACAAGGGCTGTAGTCCAAGACAAAGTCAATGATTCTTGTAACCAGATCGCTTGTAAATCAGATTTTTTTTACATATAATTGCAAGGAAAACAAAGGAAGATTAGGATGAAAGTGAATAAAGTTAAATCAGTAAATTCCTTTACACCAGCTCAGATTTTCTAAAGGAACTGAAATCTTGTACTCAGAACATTTTGTGGAGATTACCCCCACTTAGTCTGCTGTTAGATGGCCATTTAAATCCTATAAAAGGGCAAGCACATCTTTCTCTTTTTTTTTCTATTTTTCCTCCTAGCAACACAACACAGTAAAAAGAAACACAAACACAGGACTTGTTCATGCTCGGGACAATGTCTTTACTCTGGGTGACTTATAACAATTTAAACATGAACATGTGTATCAGACACACACATTTCTTAACAGCTAAATTTAATCTCTTTTCTTTTTCAACTGTATACTCAGTGTATTTTCTCTATTTGTTAATCCTTTATTAATATTTATAAAAATACAAGAACATTATATTCAACAAAGATATATCATATGAATGATTTACTGTATCAGTGTAATCTGAATATTATATAATTTAAAGAAAAACAGACCACTTTAAGGCTCCATTTGTAATAATTTATTTCACCAGAGAATTTTATTTTTCTCTGGATCTTCAGACTTCACTTTCAAAAGGTGAAACGAAAAATGAATTTAAAACCAAGATTTTCGTTACTTATATATATCATATATCACACATTCAGTGCTGGTGCTAATAAAATAGTGTTCAATGTATAATAACAGAGCTATAATTTACATTAATAATAAATACACATTTTTTTCCACTCACCAGTAGCATAACTGAGTTTCATGCACAACACAATCGTCAGGTGCTGATTAAGTTGCATATGAAACTCAGTTGTGCTACCAGTGAGAAAATAAGTGTGTGTGTGTATATATATATATATATATATATATATATATACATACAGATAGATACAAAAGAATCTATCTATGTAAACAAACTCTTATCTGTGTTGAAATTCATACCTTCTACTCATTTCTCATTCATTCCATTTCTGTTTACTTCTGCAAATAATGACAACTGCCATTTACATGTGAAAATATGTTTGGGCCCTGCTTTTTAAGCTAGAACCAATATCCATAAGAAGTTTGTAAAATGTAATAAATACTTATGAGATCTTCAAATGATAATGAAAGTTAAAAAAAAGGGATGGTGGGAGGGAGGGGATAAGAGCCACAACCGAGAGTTTATAAGGTTAGATTCAGAGTATAGGAATGGAGGTGGAGATGAGGTCCTTAACCTCCAATGATAAAACCTGAAAGATAGAAAGGAAAGAAAGCAAGCAAAGACCCATAATCTGTTGCAACAAACAATACACTTACCTTGTTTCTAAATTGGCCCAAAAACTGTAGAAGGTAAAATATAAAGCAATAGCAAAAAATAAATGAAGTAAAATTTTTAAAAAGACACCTGAATAAAATATGCATGACAAAAAATGTGTGCAAATAAACATGTAAAAGACATTAATTACAAAAACCAAAAGATAACATGCGATAACATCTTTATTGGCCATGCAGTAATAAATCATTTTTTTTTTATTAAGAGGTTCAATTTATCAGAAAAAATTTTAATGTAATTTGTATGTTAACATTTTTTTTAAAGTAAAAAAAAAAAAGAAAACCTGATAAAAATTATGAGTAAGGTTGCTTCTCTGCAGCTTTTCTATAAATACTTTGATGGTAATTATTCAGATTAGCTCTTCATTATGATTTTCGCATTTATTGTTGTGTTTGAATGAGTGTGTGCGAGTGCTTCGAATGAAGGAATGGTTTATATTATTAAAGTCACGCATTTATTTCGTCCAGTTAACTGATGTTTCTGCTGAATTTAGGGATTGTGGGGGATTTTATTACTAACATTATTTTTTTTTTAGTTTCTTGTAAGAAGTTTTGTTCATTTTTGTAAATATCCATTGGAGTTTACATTTTTAAAATTGTTATTTTATTCCTCTCCCAACACAGACAATAAATTGGACATATGGGGACTAGTTAGGATTTTCATATAGACAATGAGATATTATGGTGGCTGTAGTAAGAAAGGTAAGTAAGAATGTGTTGTTTTGGTGTTAGGAATATTGTGGTATGCTTGAATCAGCATTTGTAGCTAGCTAAGTCTAACATTGAGACAGATGAAGACTGTCCTTTTCCCCATTCCAGCCTTGTGCCACATTTTCTGTAAATAAGTGAAAATAAATATCACTCTTCATTATGGTACCTAGAATTTTTTAATTTAAGTGCAGTACTAGACTAGTGTAGAGATCTCATCAATTTACTTTGCTTGTGAAACTCCCTTCCAGCTCCATGCTATCCAGCCAACTTTAATGTGCAAAAATTTAAATGCAATGTCAATCACTATCTACTGTCCTCCTTATTACTCTTTTCTCTTCTTTCTCATTATTAATGTTTCCATTCCTAATTCTTCCACACATTGTAACCCCCTTGTGTCTTAGTGGCTTTATTGCCTTGCATGGGGTGATACAAATTTAAAAAAAAAAAAAAAAAAGTAAATTTCATTCTAACCAATAAAACTTAGTAAACTATAAAGAACCAATTGTACTATTTACAACTTTGTGGAAGCTGAAAACAGTTCCATTAAATATAGAAGATATAAAAAAATCATTGTTTAATTGATTAAAATAAATAACTTCAAAATTCAATGGACGATAATAAATAGGATCTCATCATCAAATGTTTACATTTTGTTGTATTATAGGTGCACCAATTACTAGAAATTAAGTTGTGGCAGGATCAGCCAAGCTGTCAACCAGATCAGCTCTAGACTTTAAATTGCAGGTTTTTGCTCCATACTTTTGTGCTATGCCTCAATAATTTCCAATCCTTTGTAGCTCTTTACTAAATTTTGTCCTTTTGATATCTATCCTAAACCTTGTTCTGCTATGCATTTACATAAGCTTGTTAGGTAGGACTTGCTTGATCTTGATATTTTAAATACACCAAAAAAAATGCAAATATATAGGCAAAAAGAGAACGAAATATGTATATAAAATGTTATGACTTAAATCATCTTACTGCCCTGTTAAAATTATAGTGCGTCCCCACAACTCTCAGTAAACACTTACTGCTCTCTTGAGAGCTCTTAGCACCCACATTGAGAAACACTGCCTTAAAGTAACAAAAATTTGACCTTTAAACAATTTAATCTAATTATGCACAATACAAAAGCAGTGCAGATACAATGCAACAATTGCATGAACAGAAATTCTCATATCTTACCTTTTCTTTGTTTTCCTTTTCGGAGCAGTAGAACTTTCATCAATAACCAAGGTACCTTTTTGCGAACTGGTATCTATTCCATCAGCTTCTATTTCTTGCCCAGCATCTAGTTCCTGACCAACATGCACCAAATCACTTGAACGCAAGGAACTCTTTAAATAAAATATGCAGGACATCTTTAAGAATTAACGATAAAAACAATTATGTTAATTAATTTTTTGATAAACTGTACAATAGGCACTGCAATGAAAAATAATTTTTTTTTCATAATTTTTTCTCATATTGCTATAAATTAAGCTCTCCAGACATGAATACAATTTTTTTTTTATTAAATATTATAAAAGTTAATGAGGGACAGGATCCATTTTGCTATGTAATTCATTACAAACTGATCCCTCATGTAAGATGAAAGAAAAGATGATCATACATTTAAAATCTCTTAAAATTTAAAAAATGAGAATTTTTTTTTTTAATTTGTAATCTGAAGTACACTCTTCATGATTTACTATTGATTAAACACTCAAGATCGTGATATTTAAAAAAATATATTTTTTTTACATTTTAAGAAATCATATGGTGTTATGTCCATTTTGCTTTTGTTAAAATAGGGGGATCAATTTACAATTAATTTACATAGCAAAGTAGACACTCCCATTAACTTTTATAATACTTAATTTTTTTAAAAAGTGAGAGAACATAGCAAAGTGCCCTGTCACCTATTAACTTTTATATTTAATTTAAAAAAAATTTTTTTTTAAATTAAGTTAAAAGTAATAAAAATAAAAAGTGAAAGAATATTTTTGGAGTGCTTAATCTAAAGTAATACAAGAAAAATTTATGAAAAAAAAATGATTATTTCTGTTTGAATTGACTATTGTAAAACTCCAATATTTTTTTTATAACTTTAGGACAAAACTACACAATCTTGAATTGAACATCAAAATCTTAGAATTACTCTATAAAATATAAAAAATAAAATCTCCAACTACAATGGTTTTTTTATGTTTTGTATCTAAGCTCAGTATGTCATAATGCTAATAACAAGGACAATCAGCACAAATTTCAGATGAGGCAATGTATTGGTTCCAATTGGCATGAGAATGACTGCAAAAATATCCCACTAGCCAAATTTATAGACTATTACAGTGTGACCCGGATATAAGAGAGATTTTCTCTGGTCCCAAATTAGAGCCTGTGTGAATGTATATAAAATAGACCAAACCCGGATATAAGAGACTTCTTCTCCGGTCCCGACAACTCTTATATCCGGGTTACACTGTAGTACAGAAATGCATGCTGGGATTTCTTCTTAGCCAGTAAGCCTGACCACTTCTTTGTCTCATCTGTCATAGTCTTGTTCTTTATTGTCCTGAAATCAGGATGCTGTGATCACTTGTCTACATCCCTTTTGTGTGTTAACACCATTCTTATTTTGCAAACTTTTGGGGTTTTTTTTTGCTTTGCATCTATATTGTTTACTTAGTATTATTTTGCTCTGATCTTTTTCTTCTTTTGTTATTGTTTATTGAAAACACTGTTTCCTATTTGTTGGGCATTTTTGCCAATTAAACTTAACTATGGCCAATTACTCTACACAATGAAAACTTGTTTTTATCTAGGAATGGTAATGGTGAGAATAACCATTTCTTTATGAGGAAACATTCAATATTCATCGACCAAACAGCATTATTGTCGGTTGAAATTTATAAAATCTTTATCTTAAAATAGTTTTACAGAAAAATAAACTTCTCTCTTCTACTCACTGCTATCACTCTTTCTAGGATTGATGGGGATTTCCTTCCTAACTTTTTGTTTAAAGTAGTTTGGAAAGTCAACATCTTTATTATGTCATTATTTTCTCAGTGTTATATGTGCTATCAATTTAAGCTGTTGCTGCCATTGGAAGACTTCAAGTAATGTGGTTTCTGTTATTTGGTAAGTTCTTTGATTGAAATTCTGTAGCGCCAATTGATGAGATTTGATGAATAGTTCTTTTTTAAAACTTAGAGAGCTCGTTTACTTGAAGCCATTTTTAATCTTTGATCTGAGTAAAAAAGTTGGATATAGCGAATAGCTTAGACATTTTTGAATGTGTTGGATGCAATACAGAACATCAGCCTTTTCTATAAATACTTTTATGGTAATTGTTCGAATTAAATTTTTCGCTTTAGCACCAAGATTTTGAATTCTAGATTGATAACAAGTTCTCAGCTGAATTGGCTATATTCAAGCATCAGTTCTACGCTAAGTTTTTTTTCACATTTCTCACTTGTGAAACTCTTCTGGCTCCATGATTTCCAGCCAACTTTGATCTTCAAGAATTGTCAATGTCGATCGCTAGCTACTGTCTTCTTGATTATTATTCTATTCTTCTTGCTCTTGAATAATGTTTCTTTGTTTTCTTATTCTTTCACACTCATTAACTTCTTGTGTCTTAGTGGCTTTACTGCCTTGCATTGGGTGATATGATTAAAAAAAAAAAAAAATTTTCAGCTCTTGATTCTCAGATTGATGGAAGTTACATTACGGCAATGGGAAAGTGACTGAAGCCAAGTTGCCTGGTCAGGACCAATAATATTTCTGATTCTTCTTTGGATTTTATCAAGAATCTCTAAATATACAGCAGGAACACCGGACCATATTTGACAGTAATATTCAAAGCATGGACGAATATTACATATGTATGATAGATTTAAGGAACAAAAATTGTCTAGCACAACAGAGCGAAACAACTTTCTTAGCAGCAGACCTAGCAATGGATAGACATGACTTGAGTTCTTAGGTTAATGTTTTGGTTTTGTAACAACATGTGGTGCTGTGTAAAACTATCTCTAGTATAACCCATATTCAATTTCTTTATTTCCTATATTAATTTTGTTATAACTAATCCATACACCCAGGTATTTGATGTAAAATTAAATCTTATTCTAAATTAAAATAATGAACAACATATAATATTTCTAAACTGGAATAATACAGAAATGTCTTATACTAATTTATAACCATTTTAAAAAAAAAATCTTATTACAAACAATATTTATTAAGTACTTACATCAGGTGTTGGGGTACATGGAGGACTTAGCTCTTTACCCTCTGCTTTTTCTAAATCCGCATTAATGTCTTCAGCATCTTTCCACAAACCATATCGCTGAAACACAAAAATATATCTCTCTTATTGTTAGATAAATTATTACTTATTTTTAACACTTACTGAATTAAATACATTCAGCTGTTTGATTGTTTCAAGATTTCTAGGTGTACTTAAAGTGCATCTAGAAATCTCACCAAATTACTAATAACATTTAAGTTTTCTACTTTTTCTCGTATAAACAATCTTTCTCAGTTTAGTTTTTTTATTTTATATCAAATAAAAGCATTTTAAACTATTCTAAGCCAGACAAAAAAGAATTTATTTTGATCTGTTCTTTCATTATTCAAAAAAGCACTTAATTCAAGAGTATAATACTGATTGATTTGTTTTTTTTTTTTATGGCTTATCAACCTTTTGCAGGTTACTTAAAGCCAGAAAACATTTTTAGATTGTAAGAATTGGGGAGAGAGATACTGTTTTTACTGACACAAGTCCTAGTAATTAACCTATAGCTGGGAGAAAAGGTGAATTCAGACCTTTCCCAAGGGTATTTGTTCATAAGTGAATATAATGAATTTGACTGTAATTGCAACTCAGCTCTCTGATTAACAATCCTGAGCCATTATCTATTACAACACCCACACATTCAAGCTTACAGCACTTGGTGTTCCCAAGCGGTCACCCATCTAGATACTGACCAGACTTGACATTGCTTAACTTTGGTGATTGTACGAGAATTGATGTTTCAGCCGGATATGGCTATAAGCTTCAAAAGTATAAGCAGACAAGATGTGCTATATATGTGAATGAGTATACATAATGTATTGTTTAGCAAGTAAGATTTTCATCAAGTTATACAAATATATTACGAAAAGATTATTAAAATCAAACAAAAACTTTAAAGTGGATTTCATTTTGGATTTATACTGCAAATGCTAGTACAAATAGCATAAGATATTATTCTTACTAAAAGGCAGGTTGACAAACAGATAATTTCAAAATCAAGTACAAGCAATAACTAAATTCAACATGATAAAATAAACACAGGGGAATTATTTTCTGTTAAAATTTACTTTTCTTACTAAATATAATTCTGACTTTTCAAGAATTTGTTCATTAATAAACAAGAGTAGAAATTAAGATTTTTTTTCTAATTACTTTTAATATTCAGTCAATGTCTAAAAGAAATAGGCAAATGAAATTTGATGGAACACAACTATATTCCTTGAAAGTATTATATATATATATATATACACACACACGAAAAACTTAACTTCGGTTGTGCACTCTTGGAAGATAAGCTTGAATTTGTAAACAATGACTATTGCTACTAATATTACAAGGCTCTTCCCTTCCCTGAATTGAGCACTATTACTCATTGGCATGTTTATTCAAAAAAATTTGCCTTTCTTCCAACCACACAACAATGGCTTAGAGGGGAAAAAAATCTCCGACTGATTTGTCATCAGTCGGGTTTCGATTCCAGCTTGAAGCAATCGGATGTCCAACCACACTGATGAGCTGTGATACAGTGAAACAGTCGGTCTGTGGAAGACAAAATATATATATATATATATATATATATATATATATTTGTTGGACCTTCAGCATATTCAGGAGTTTGAGAGTACTTAAGTCCTTGCATATTCTCAACATTGGAAGCTCTCCTGGCTGCTGTTTGATTTGGGTTTTCATTTGCATACAACATTCTTTTTCTCACTGCAGCTTTGGCTCTTTTGATTGCAATCTGGTCCTCTCTGTTGGCAGAGATTTCTTTTTGTGAGGCATACTGCTGCCATATGCAATAGGCTACAATAAACTACAGAAGAATTCAAAATTAATCGCTGGATTTAAGTATTGCATTAATATTTAAAAGTTCGACAATAATTCTTCTGCCGCCACTTAATTTTAAAGACAATTTGATGTACATAGGTCCTTACTTTCCATACAAAGTTATTTTTTATTTCATGGGTGAGTTTCACTGGATTTCACAATTAATTTTGATTATTCCCAAATTTATTTCCAAGTTATAAAAATTGCTATCATGCAAAAAAATGTCACAGAAAAAAAAAAAATCAACAGAAACAATCACAGTAATGAAAATTTGGGAATCCAAAATTTCAGGATTATGGGTCTGGAATGTTTTTAATTTGTTCATGGAGTTAGCCTGATTCCAAAATGGTATGATATGTTGGACTGCAGACTCTAGGGTTAATGTTGAAAAAGTGTGACACAATGACACACTGATACATTTATTTATATAGATATATCTAATAAATTTGGCCAACAACAATCAAAAATTCTATTCTTAGAAACCTTTATACAAGAGACATATGTCAACATGCTCTTAAACAGTGAAAAGGAAACTTACTTTGAGAATCGTCCTGTGAATGAAAAGAATGAGTAGCAATGCAAGGTCATAGTTGGCATAATATTTTTTGTACTCAATTCCAAGAATTCGAGGTGGCCAGAATGGACTTTGATTGGTGACTTCAATCCAAGGAAAATGGTGAACTGGAACAAGTATTTCACGACGACAACAGCCTTTGAAAAAAATAAAGGAAACAAAAACATTTTATAAGACAAGCCCTTGGCATTTAAAATAAATTAAAAGAGGGTCAAAGTATTTAGAAATGTGTAGCACATCATGCGCATGCATATATATATATATATATATATATATATATATATGGTTGGATTGATGTGAGTTTGTGACCCTGGGTTTCACGCTTTTGTGATCGTCAGAGTTTGTCTGACAATCGCAAAAACGTGAAACCCAGGGTCACAAACTCACATCAATCCAACCAAATATGTTAACTCTGTCTGATATTGAGCGCTTTCTAATAAGTACCGCATAAATATATATATATATATAAATAATTATATATATATATATTTATATATATATACTTTATATATATATATATATATTTTTTTACTAAGTACACATACATATTTTTCTATTAAAACCTATTGGCCTAGAGATTAAAAGTCTTAAGAAAATGTACCTCTCAACAAGAATCAGACATATATTCTTTCACCTCTTAAAGGTATTTTTTTTTTTTTTTTTTAACAAGACTTAATGTTAATTTCCCTGTTAGACAAAAAAAAAAACAGGGATGACTATTCAAGCACATGTACCCACTAGAATAGTTATAGCAGTGTTTCTCAACCATTTTAAGCAATAGCACACCTAGGGGCAAATTAAAATATCATGACAGACTTAGCAAAATTTTTTAAAGCATATACATTTAAATGTTACGAAATAAATCCATAGATTTAAAAAAAATGCAAACACAAATATGAACTTAATTTATTTCAATGTTTCTATTCAACTATTTGTACAGCTTAGTGTTTTTTTGTGCTTTCTTCAAAGTTTGTTTGAATGTTTGATAAGCAGACCCTCATTTCTTCAGTTGAGCATAGTCTTTCTCACTTCTTATTTTTTATTTGGGATTGAGAAACCTCATTCATATGAATAAGTAGAAAATTGGAATAAAACTGATAAAGCCATTTTAGTGAATGTGTGATAAAAAGTTTAATACTTCTTCATTTATTCAAATACTAACACTGTACCATTGCTACTTCCACACACACATACGCGTGCAGGTTGTGACAATATTGTGCAGCACACTAGTGTGCAACATCACAGCGATTGAGAATCACTGATTTATAACAATAAGAAATAATGTTGGATTAAAAAATACATTAACTGTTTAAAAAGTATATATTTCTAATAAATATGTAAGGATATGTGTAAGTAATTTCATAAAATATCTAAGGAAAATCAAAAAAATTAGCAACACAAAGCAAGTTTTGCATTCATAAACTTAGAACCTTCTGAGAAAAAAAAAAATACATATTTATGCTTACACTGTTAATAATATGATGAAATAATTGAAATATGGTTTAATTTGAAATTTAATTTTTCAATATCCTTTCCTTTTATTAAATTCAAAAATTTTCAAATTGACAGACTTAGAGACATTAATTCAAATACAGGGTATAGCAGAAATACTTCCCACATAATGGTAAGACATTAGTGGCTATGGTGTTTTCATCTAGCTAATGCCTTACTATTATCTGGAAGGTATTTCTAGGAGGTATATGTGGGAGGTACTTCTGCCACAGGTTGTATAAAGATATATAGTTAAAAGCTACTTCTGATATAAACTTAAAGCCCAACAAAAATCAAATAAGAACTTAATTTGTTATAGGAATAAAAAGAAAATCAAGCCAGTTTCTTTTCTATTTCATTAATACATTACATTTGTTTTAATATTTTTCATAATAATGGAAAACAAATCAGAATTCACCAATAAAAATCAAGTCATTTTTTAGCATTACTTTAAATATTTTAAACCAGACATCACCAAGTCACAAAAATGATGTTGACAACGATTAGTTATACCTCAGTGTATGTAATGACTGTAACCCAAAATGTTTTGGAGGGGCGCGGCACTGACAGCATCCCCCACAGGAACACCATGAGTGGGAGTGGCAAGGACAGTAGGCTGGCAGATACCATTTGATTAAGCACAATCAGGAAATAGCAGACCAACTCAGAACGGGAGATGAGCATGTAGTAGAAGGCAACAAGCAAGCGATACAGCACCGGCTGCTGCATTTCAAACTCATTTTCTTCATCATCTTCCATATCATCAAGGCTACAAATAGAAAGAAAAAAAATATATTCAAAAGGCAATTCTATAATATTAAAGCAATATAAAATCTCTAGAATTTTTTTTTTTTTTTTTTTTATTTAAGATTTTAATTTTAAAGAATACTAAATACAATCACTCAGACATTTTTCAGGGGTGAGATGCCCAACAAATTTCTGATTTGCTGCTTTTTTATGTTTCAAATATTCACAAAGTTTATAATTAATTTTTGACAATGTTTTTTTCTTCTTTCCTTTTATTGTTTAACCACAATTCAAATGATTTCTACGTCTTAAAATCATTAAGCAAGTGGCACGAGAAATAAGCTCCCAGCACAATTTGAATTGTGAGATATGAATTTGATGTTAAATAATAATAGCAATGCCTTACACAAGAAATTTAAATTTAAAATTATTACCAAGTTCATCATACAGCATTTTTACTTCTAAAATGATAAACAGTTACAAAATTCAATTTAAATATGCAATGTTTCTATAATGCAAGAATTTGGTAAAAAATCCAGAAACAAGAAAAATCCAATTCTCTAAGACAATGAGTATAAGAGCAGTCAATTATAAGTAAAAAGAAGGCAACAATTTGCTTTAAATCATTACATTTGGGCAGAGGACACTTTAAATCATTGTGTAGGCAGACAGTTTATGCAGATGTTTATAACTTTTGTTTTAAAAATTTATTTTAAAAAAAAATAATTTCTTAAATATTTTTCTAAGTACAAATTATAAATTTTGTCAATTTACACAAATTAAAACTTCTGAAATTGAAAATGACTTTTTAAAAATAAACTTCTACACTAATTACATAGTTTTTAAAATTCAGATATAAAAACTATCAACAAATATGCTTTATTACAATATTTATTAAGCACAAGGTATTTTGTCATATTTATACACTCTATATCTGAACATACATAAAGGCAATGCAATTTTTGCATTTCTATCAAATGGCTAACAATAGAATTTAAGTAACCATTTTTGTGGATGAGTCTATTCATTAATACAATCATCAAAACATTTTCTGTCCATACCATAATTTCAAGAATGAAAATTCTTTGATTTAATTATGTTATGCTTGATGGAAAAATTAAAACAATTCAAAATAAATTTTCTCAAAGAAAAATACTATAAAAGTCATTAAGATGTAATATATTGAAACACAATGAAAAAATTAAATGATGTAATGACAAATTTCCATGTGAAGATATTTCTAATGAACACAAAAAAATAAAATAACTATTTCACCTGGTTTTACTTAAACACTTCCTTACATCACTTTTTGTCGGTGATTCAACTGTGACTGCGATTAAGCCATTATCACTAAAAAAAGAAAATAAGAAATTAATTTTAATAGAGTTTAATATGCAAATAATGAGGCAGCTATTACAACAGCATATAACTTAATAAAACTAAAGACAAGATAAAATTCAATGTTAGTATGTGCAAATAATACTAATAGCTTTAAGCTAAAGTATATTTTCATAGAAGACAATGCTCTGTCATATTCTACAAAATAGACAATTTCCAACATTGCCACAAAGGTTTAAAAAATATCACATTAATGTAGGTACCTCCACGAAATCACTAAAAAAAGAACATAGCTTGATGAAAAAGACGCCAACCTTGCCGAAAACAAAATTTCATTGTCTAAATGCTTATGTTATTAAGAGGAAAGACCAAAGTTTTTTTAAGTTATTTTTAAAAAAATTTCCTTCTTTTTAGAACATTCTAAATTTTGATTAAAAAAAACCTTGTTTCTACTTGTATCAGTGGAACTAGTAAATAACAGACAATTTTTAACACGTTTTTTTGGTATGACACACATTAATTTGAAAAATCGTGCAAAAATAGAAATAATTATCGAATGTTAATGAAACTTTCAGGAACTATTCACAAATGATCGAAATTATTATAAATATGTTTTTTTTTATGAAAGTCATGGTAGAAATATTTTTTTAAATATTTATTACCACCCCATAACTAATTTTATGAAAACGCTAGAAATTGATCGCATCGGTTTTAGTGATTACAATAATTAAAAAGCACAGGGCTTTGAGGAATGCAAATCATGTTTTTTTTTTTTTTAATTGGATACGCAGTACCTGAAAATCAGCTCTGAATTGTAACACACAAAACTCAATAAAACAAAGATATTATTTAATTTCAAATGCTTTTATTTGCTTTTAGTTGTTTTTATGAATATGGACAATATTTTCTGAAAGCAAAAAAAATTTTTTCGATGAAAAATGAATATTTAATACAATTATTTGTTATTTCATTAATTATAATAGATTTTACATTTAAGTTGTTAAAATATTATAAAATTAGTTAAAATCATATCGGCTTTCATAAGTGTCCTTATGAGATAGATCTTTTTTTAGCGCGTTGTAAATTCTATCATTTTGACTAATCAGAAGATCCCCAGTAATTAAGAAATGTAATTTTGTGCTTATAATCGAGCTGTAATTATAAAATACGGAAGACCAACCAGAATATAATTAAGTTGCGTTATTTGAGTTAAGCATTGTTCTCCGCTGTTAAGGCCTTTACTTTTACGAAACACGTGGAGAAGTTAATTTGATTTTTCAATTTCAACTGAGAAGGGTATCTACAAGTATCAGTATCATCTTATGAAATTTATATGATCTTATTTTTATATTAATCTCAGTTACGACATTTTTCCATAAATGAAATATCAAAATTAATAATAAAATGAATGCAAATACAAATAACAGTAGAATGTAATAAATGTACATAAAATTATAGTATTTTATGTACAATTCTGATAAAATTTCATAAGAAAGGTACCTATAAATTAATTAGATACCTTTAAGAAATATGAAATTTTTCCCATAAAGTATCATAAACGTAAAGGTGAAAGCTAAGTACAAAAAAAAAAAAATTAGACCGCTGAAAGTTTTCGTTAAAAATAACGGGGTAAATAATTTGTTCACGTAAATGTAAATTATTTCACTTTTCTCCTTCCGTAGAACAAATTAGCCTCATGGAATTCGTAAATATATCATTCATCACATGTCAAGAGATGCGAAAGTTTATGACCTGCTTTGTTTTATTTTCAAATTACATCTTTTTGGCACAAAAGCTAAGTTAAATTTGGTTCAAAATATTTTAAATAAACATTATAATTTCTGATTTTTCTTAAAATAAGTTTTGAAAAATGATAATTGATATTTAAAAAATTTCAAAGTCAGATTTCCAGTTTTTTTTTAAAATGGAAAAAAATGGTCAATTTTGCTGACTCAAAAAAACTAGATTTTTAACGAAAATTTCGGACGTGCTAGGAACGATTAAAAAATGGAAAAAAAATACCCCCAAAATACTTTGACCTTTCCTCTTAATAATAACAAACATTTAGACGATAAAATTTTGTTTTCGTCAAGTTTGGCATCTTTTTCATCATGCTATGCTCTTTTTTTAGCGATCTCGTGGAGGTACCTACATTAATGGAATGGCTTCTAGCCTCTCCAGATATTAATCCAATAAAAAAAAAATTTAGGGTCCAACATTAAACGATATATAGGAGAACAGAAAACAATATTCAAATGAAGAAGATCTCTGTAAAGCAAAAAAGAAATTCATGTATGAAAATTTATACTTTCTTGTCTGAATCTCAGGGATGAAAAGTTATTTACATGATTTACACAGACTTATCCTCATCTTCGTTGTTATTCCAACAATTCAGCCATAGTGTCCTCCAACTTTCAAGTACTTATTGATGCAGGTAAACTTCAGGGAATTTCAAACCAGACCATTTTATTTAATCTATGGAAATAGATTTTCTTGTTCTGCTGTCCATGTCTAGAGAAGTCTTATTCTTATTCAATACTGCTCAGTTATTGCTCATCCTGTTTCCATTGAACTAGACAGGACAATAGCCTAGTGGATTAAGGCATCAGTTTGTGAATCGGATGCCATAATAATTCTATGTTCAATCCCTAGACCGGGAAAGTGCAAACTTAGACTCAATGAAATATTTTATAAAACACATAATTTTAAGAAATTTTAGTTTCTAATTTAACCAATTTTCTATAGACTCATACACTCTGTAGTGGTGCAAAAGGTGATTATTTCCCTTAGGGTAAAATGAATTCACAAGAGTCACATGATAGCTGGTGAGTGGCGTCAATTCGTGGAGTGACGAACCCCAGTTGTTATGTAGGCCATTAGGAAGATAGACATCAGCCACAGCAGCTTATGGCCATATCATCTTCAAACACCAGTTCCTGTACAATCATCAAAAATTAAGCAATGTTTAGCTTGGTTAGTACATATATGGGTGATCACTTGGAAATACCAAGTGCTGTAAGCTTGGATTTGTAGGTGGTATAATGGATAAAGGCTCTGGATTGTCAATCAGAGAAGCGAATTGCAATTCCTGTTGTTTTTTTTTTTATATTCACTTAAACACAAGTACTTTTGGAAAAGGTATAAATCTACATCTTCTCCTTCCAGCTATGAGTTAATTAGTAAGACTTGTATCACTAAATCATTATTATCTTTAAAAAATAAAAATAAAAAAAAAAAATAAAACTTACAATTTAAAAATATTTTCTGTCTTTGAAATAATATGCAAAGGGTTGACAAGCCATAGAAAAATCAATCAAAAGCCCGCAGCAGGAGAGATCAAACAGAGGAAACCACATGGTGCCACCAAGGTACAGAGTAAACAACTAACCTGGTAGTTCCCTCTTACAAGTAAGACCCTCTCACTTTTCAGCCATTCACAATACTTGTTGTATTCATAAGTGTTATAGTTTCTATGTTGGGAAAAATAATGACAGGCAGATATATATTTGTATACAATATCTTGCATGACATAGCCATATATAAAATCACTGAGAACAATGCATATTTGTCATGCCTTTCTTTCAACTATTCTGGTTCAACCTTCCATTTATCAAGGTGTTAGTATATCATGGATATACTAATGCCTATAATCAAGCAATTGGAAATATTCTCTCTTCCCAAGCACCCCAATCAACACCAACAAAAGAATAGAAGGAAAGAAATGCAAGAGTTTGAAAGATACAAAATTAAAAGAGAAAAGAATTGTGACAAATAAATATTACACAAAAAACAAACAATTATTTACTTTCTATCTTCAAATATAGAAGAGTAGAACTCATTTTTACTCACAGATTATCTGTAGCTCCTTCATCTTGTGCTTCATCTATATTTGTGTCTGGTTCCACAAACACTTGTCCTTGCTTCTCCGCCTATGGGCAAAAGAATTAAATAAGAATACCACATCTTTAAAAATATGAATTAAAATGGTCAAAAGTCATGTTATTTCTTTTCCAAACTTATAACAAACTTTTTCTTGAGTATCCATTATTTGACTTTTTCCACATATTTCTACTCCCACTACCCAGTCTTTTTATTATCCAATGATTCCAAAATATTTTTCAATTAATTTATTAGTTTGTTTTGGAAAATAATGTCTGATTTTAAAATCAATTTTTATTCCTGAATTAATATATTTAAACAGTGTTTAAATCAGTCAAAATAGGAACCCTAAATATCTATACACTTCTGCCATTGAGTCACAAGGTTTTTGATACCTTTACAATAAAACTTTTTGCTGTTTTTGATTTTGATGTCAAGAAATCTTTGAATGATGTTTCTGCATCTTTTTTTTTGCAACAGAATGTCTTTTGCCTTAAAAAAATTGTCAAGATGCTTGAACAAGTGGTAGTCAGTGGGTGAGAGACCAGGAGAATATAGTGGATGTGGTAAAGTTTTGTATCCCAAGTCTGAACTTCAGCAGTGTCTTCCTGACAACATGTGGCAGAGCATTGTCATGAAGTAGAATTGAACCTCATCATTTCACCAGTGTCAACCACATTTTGCTTAAATGAATGTGCATTTCATCCAGTTGATGGCAGTAAACTTTGGCAGTGATGCTCTGGGTGGATTCCAGAAAGCTGTAATGGATAATCCCAACGGCATCAAACACTTTGAGAAATTCTGATTTCACCAAGTTCATGTGGAACTCATTGAGTTTCTTCACCTTGCCATTTTTCTTGAGATGTTCTGATATTGTTTAAATGCTGACACTCAATATCTGAGATATTTCTGATACATTGGCGTGGATTTTGTTCAACTAGCATTTTCAGATGTTGATTGTCAAATACAAATGGACATTCTCTACCACCTTGATCTTTACAACTCACATTCCCACTGCAGAACTTCAGAAACCAATCCCATACCATCCGATCACAAGTAGATCCTTTACACAAGGCACTGTTAATGTTGGCAGCAAAATCTGTCGACTCTCATAAAGCCCAGTAAGCCATTCCAACACAAAGTTACAAAACCTCACACACTTAACCCTGAGTAGACAGCACAAGGACTATTGGTAAACTAACTCATTAGACCAGGTAACAATCAGTGTTAGCTACACGAACACACGCACACACACTTTTAATGAAAAGCAAAAAAAAAAAAAACAACACAGCATATACAATTTGAGAACTCTTCAATACCACTTCATATAAAACAAAAAGGTTTAGGGAAAAGTAATCACCTGTATTTTTAATTTTTCTTTCTTCATATCATCAGCAAGAATCCGGGCCACATGACGGTAATTTCGAGATATGTGGTTGAAGATCTTAATAAGCCAGTTTGCCATACTCACAAGAATAGCAATGAATAAACAGAAGTTGTTGGAAATCTTAGAAAACAATGTCTCTGCACAAAAAAAAAAACAAAAAAACAATACATTAAATTTTATTTTAAATAGAAAAAAAAGCAAATTTTATTTAAAAAGAAGAAAGAGTAATAAAATTGAACAAGAAAAATATAGCTTAAAACAGATTTCAAAATACAAAAAAATTTCTTTTATATATCCAGATTTAAGTGAATTTAATCAAAATTAAAGCATTTCTTCTTTCTGTAATAACAGATTTTAAAATTTTATTTAAAATATCAATTAAGGAATTCATTTTTGTATATTTATAAACAAAAGAAACTTAATGCTAATCTATATAAAAGATAATATTAACATACAGAAATATGCCCGAGTGTACTAAATAATAAAAAGAGAAAACTTTTACATGCAGTAACAAAAAGAATTTGGCAGTCTTGGACCTCTGTGCCAGAGTGTCAAAAGTACAGTTTTTACCTTGACACCACTATTATTTTAACTACTTTCACTCTTCAGTAATGTTTGTTTTTTAAAAAGTGATGATTAGAATTGCAATAAAACCTGATGAAAGTGAAATTATGCATTTATTTTGTTCTTGAGAATTTACAAAACATTAGACACTATTTATTAGATTGCTTATTTATAAGAATAATTTTATATTTACAACAATATAAAAATTAATACAATGCAATATTTATTTACCAATTTACAAAGAAATAAATATGAAAAAAATTTTTCATTCATAAATTCACAAACATTTAGTAAATTATTAAAATATGTGAACCAATTATAAGGAAATCATTATTATTTAGCATTTTATAAAGTTTGAATCAATTGACAATTAGGTGATGTTTTCCCAAGCATTTCAATAAACAATCTAATAAATAAATAGTGTTTATTATTTTTGTTTTCAACTCTCAAGAACAAAGAAAGTGTATAAATTCACTTTCATATGTTTAGGCTGTATTAAGATTCTAATCATTACTTTTTAAAACAAATATTGCCAAGAAGTGAAGGTAGTTAAAATAATAGTGGTGTCAAGGGAAAAACTTGACCTTGTATCACTATTTTTTGCAGGCATGAAAGTCCAAAATTGCCAAGAATTTATATATTTTAAACATTCAAATTTTATATATTTATAAATATGTTGATTTTAAAATTTATATATAATATATAATTTCCATTAATATTTAAGTAACTTCCTAATATTAATTTCAATATAATATTATGATTAACATATAATATAATTTCCATAATAATTCAATGTAATATATATATATATATATATATATATATATATATATATATATATATATATATATATATATAAATATTTTAAAACATTAGAATTTTATGTATTAATTCAATTATTTCAGTGATAGCAAGATGATCAAAATTCAAATCTAAATGGTCTGTCCATTTAAAATACTGCATTTATTAGAAAATATATTCAGTTTACATACAGGAATCATAAAAATAACTTCAAAGGGACAACTAATACTCCTTTCCTGTACCCAGGATTTTTTTGTTTCTTTTTTTTCAGACAGAATAAGAAATTAGCACTTGTGACACATATCCATTTCAATTTCATTCAAATTGCGGTTTATTTTAATTCAATGACAGACCTAAAATGTTTCTATAAAACTTTGAAGAAAGCTTTAAAAAAATAGTTCTATTTATTTTCAAAATGCTCAAAAAAAAAAAATAAATAAATAAATAAATACAAATAAATAAATTAATAAAATAAAAAAATCTTATAATTAACTGTTTTGATTCATTCATTTTCTACAGCTTATCAACCCTTTGCAGGTTATTTAAAGCCACAAAATATTTTTAGATGGTAAATGGCAATGTTGCTTAACTTTGATGATCATATAAGAAATAATGTTTCAATACTATATGGCTGCAAGCCAATGATTCAGTTTCTTCTGGTTTTAATTTTCTTTTTCTTTCCTTGCCTCTTAATTTACAATCTCAGCCCAAGATAGGGGTTGTCCACACTGAGAGAGGAACATGTTATTCCATTTTCTTATTTCAAACTCGGTCAAATTGTGCATGCATTAAATTGGTATAAGTACATGTAAGACACACACACACACACACACACAACACAGACCTGTGCATATACATTACATACAGATATGTAAAATCACATGCAATCAGTGTGTGACAAACAGAGAATTTACTCTTCTTTGATAGTATAGATTTCAAAGTTGGTCATCAAATCACTATTTGTTCCTGCTCTCTCTCTATATATTAATCTTTTGAGAGTTAGAGAGAAAATTATTTCAAGCAACATGTTTAATTGACATCTACTGAACAAATAAAACATACAAATGTCACCATAGTTATTATAAACTGAAATAAGAAATCAGGACTTCCCAATGGTTATTTTACTGTGGCTTCCAAGTTCCACAATTATAAGAAATATTTCCTATAATTGTTTAGAAAACTCAGGCTTACCCTGGGTCTGTGTTTCAGGACTTGGTTGTTCTTCCTCTTTCTTTGGTGGGTCTGCATCTTCTGAGAAAACTGGAGCAGCAGCATCTTCATCTTCCAAAGAGACAACTATTGGACTTGGTTCAGCTTGGAATGATTTCTTGAAAGGCATCTTTAATTAAAATCGAAAACAGATCATTAATAAATTAGATATGTATTCATAATTACTTCAGGTCTTCTGTATGGAATTAAATTACTGGCATAAAATAAAACAGAATGGTAAATTAACTACTTACTTCCTCTTTGTGAATGGAGGATGACCGTCGCATACTCAGTCTACGTTCAAGTTGTTCCTCTTCTTTTGCTTTCTCAAGTGCAGTGTCAGTGCCTGAATCTATGGCTGTCGACAACAGCTACAATGAAAAAGCATATGGGTAACTAGGTTAAAGGTTGAAAGAGCAAACACATCTGGAACAGCCAAAGTTCACAATAAGATACACTAACAATTCCAAAAGACTGCATGTCGTAGAAAATTTCAGCATATTTCAAGTCCCAGAGGAGGAGTACATTTGCACTGAAGTAGGAAGATTCCACAAGATAGCTTGGATGAATTTGTTAAAATTACAACTGACTTCACAAATAGACAGACAAAAGAAATACAAAGAAGTGGACAGACAGGCAGAAAACCAGAGGCGGATATACAGATAGAGGCACGCAGACTATATAGACAAGTTAGAATGTAAAAAAATATAGCTGAAGATATAAACTAATGAACTTTTAGTTCACTTGGTTCCTATTCATTTGATATAGGAAATATTATGAAGTTCAATCCTTATCAATACCAATGTATTTGATGAATAGCATAACATTTAAATGAAATTCAATCTTGTAATAGAATATCATTGCTTAAATAATATAATTTATAATGCGAAATGCAACTTCTTGTACACTAATAATAGTATTTAAACCATAATTTAGAAATCTTGACTAAACCAACATAAGTATTGGCTATAATTGTTTAATCTAACACTGGTTTCTTTTCAAAATAAATAAATATAAAGAAAACTAACCTGGAGAGGTCCCATTTTTCTCTCCTCACTGCTGCGCTCAGATCTGCCAAGATTCAAAGAGGTGGCTGCCTGATCAGGACTGCTCGAGTCATCATCTGAATCATCCTCGAACAGATAGTAGTCACCTGATCGAATGGCTAGAAAAGAAAAATTTAGTTGAATAAATATAAATTATTAGCAAGTAAAGCATTGTAACTGATGACAAATTTTACTTAATTCTGTTAGTACAGTGAGGTGTTTGAACACCCAGCAAAATATTTAGCATGCGACAAGTCAAATTTTCATGATTAATCAAGTAGCTTTCTGAATACTCCTGTCAAATAACTACAAAAAATTTCTAGTTTTAGTCATCAAATATTTGTGTTAGAAGCAGTTTTATTTGTTTACTGAAAAGAAAATGAAACCTATTTTTGCATATTTTAATTTTCAAAAGTTAGAAATTTATTTTTTCATTTTTGAAATGAACAAACTCCTTTTTTAGTACATGATGCAGCAGAAATATCTCCCACATATACCTCCCAGAAAATACTGCCACATAACAAGATATTAATGGCAATGGTGCCTTCATCTGCCCAATGTCTTACCATTATGTGGGAGGTATTTCTGCCATACACGGTATTAGCCTTTAAATTTGATTTTCTAAATAAGACATTTTTTTTTTATTTATCCGATAAAAGCAAGAAAGAACACTCAAAACAATATATAACAAAAAAATTAAGAACTAAATGATATTTCTATTGCTATTTTAAATGGAGTGTTTGAAAACCCCAATGCTACAAATACTATGACAATGCCCTATAGCATTTAGAGAAGGTTAAAGATAAACTGCTCAAAAGTAGGTATGCTTTAAGTAAAAGTTTTATAAAAACTTAATTTCTCTAAATAAAATTTCTTAAGAAAGTACAAGCTGACATTTTCACATTCTACTCCTTGGCTACTTTCTTAGGTGGACTTCCACCCAACATTAAAACATACTTATATCAGACAAATTTCTGCTAAAAAATATCTATATAAACTGCCAGTGAATAAAATAGGCAAATACTCACTCCAATTGCAAGTAAGTTTTTAATTTTCTAAATATAAAAAAATTGATAAAAACTTTTATTCAAAAAATTAGCTAATTGTTTGCAACTGAAAAGAATCATTAAAATTCCAAGATAATTTGAAATCTTTATTGGGTGATCCATTCTACAGCCTTCATGCATATACTGTTAGATCTACATAGAAGCTAACTGCATTTAAATCAGCAGCAGGAAGCTTAGCACACCTGCTGGTTAAAAGTGGTTCAATCCTGGAGCTGTATTTAAACTCTGCCAATTTCTCCTTTCAGTTTGTGTATCAGGTGCCTGGTGAAGCCTTGTCATTTTGAACAAGAAAGTGTATCTGCTCTTACATATACAATTCAGAAGAAACTACTGCATACCAAAATCTATACTGGTCCAAATCAATAAGCTAACATCTGCCATCTATTTCTAAGTCATCCCATGTCAAATCTCTAAATTTTCCCCACACTGAGAGTAACGTACATTCTTTTCTAGGGATGGTTCATAATATTAGATTTTGCTACCTCCATTTTGAACATAACTTTCTTATAGTTAAGGAATCTAAACTTTAAAAGGGTGGCTTGTCTCTGTTATATTCTTTTTTTCATACTTAGAGCTGTGCAACATTTTCATCAAAATCATCTAATAATCAAACTTTGCAAAGAATTGAAAACTACCTCATTTTGCAATATCAACAAATCCTTTAGAGTCATTTCCCAGAAACTTAAATATCCATCCTTATACTTCCCAGCAGAAAAACGACAAAAGACGGATAATTGTTACATTGTTAAGTGTTGCTGATGCTTTAATTTTTCCAGCATCATTGATGATTAAATTTGCTCAGCATTGAAGGCAAACTGATTATTAACACACAAGGGATGGCTTGGGTTCTTTGTATTTGATGACATATCCACACTAGGATGTCATAACATGTCGCAAAAACAATGAAGCGATGCTTAAAACTAAAATCCTGGTACAGAGCATAGTGTACTGTTTTTTTTTGGGGGGGGGGTTGTACACACACACACAGTGATATACCTACCTACTGCACAAAGTACTCTGACATCTAACAAAGTTTCTAAATTATATAGATGGTATTGCCTGAAGAAACCATTTATTGGTGGAAACTGCAGTAGCAGAAAGGGTTGGTGTGTTTATTATTTTAAATATTAAATAGCTCTGCACTTTCAATTTTTGAACTGTGCAATGAGCACGTTTTTTAATGTAACCATTTCCCAGACAAGATATACTTTCTTGTTTGTAAAATAAATTATTTACTTCCCCACCTCAATAGGAATAGATAGGTTCACTTATTGTCCAGTTCACACTTGTCCTCAGTCTTTTGAACAGGAGTAGAGGTTTACTCCTTGTTTCCTGTTTAGGAATGTGTTTCTGGTTCTTCTGACTTTCACTTCCAGTAGTTCCTTGCATTATCGCCTTGCTTGGGGTTAACTGATGCGTGTGTGTGTGTGCGCACACACACATACACACTCTGATTTGCCAATATGCAGTCTTAGAAATGTGGTGTGTGAGTAAGAGAGCACATGTTCTTGTTGAGGACAGGTTATGTAAACCATCTGAAAGGTCATAACAGCCAGAAGCAATCCAGATATGCTAACCAGCCTCATCTTCCTGCTGACAATACCCATGTTGTTTGCAACAAGGTTTGCAGATCATCTGGATTGAGAAGGCACATGATGGTGCACAAAGTTGTAGGACATGCAAACCCAATCAAGGATACATAGTTTATCTTTCATATATGCATGATACCTATGAAATTGAATCCTGGTCTCACATCATCTTAGGGACAATGGATGCCAAAAGAAGATGAATGCCATCACAAATGATACAAGGCGTGAGATGTGATAATCACTATATATAACATACTATACGGTTTTATTATTCGTTACAGCATGAAACTGGCATTCAAAATGCAGTGTTAATTCCTATATTCACAGTTTATATCTATATACATCAGTCAGTTATGTGCCATGCGTGATACACACTTAGGTCATCATGCATCTTTCTATACATGACTGTCAAGGCAAATTTTTCCTTGAAGTAGGTTGCCATTTCTTTCTGTGGTAGACCAGTTACCATCCAAGGCTATAGAACCTGGTTTGTCCTGCTATTTACTGATAGATGGAGGGGAGAAGAGGAGGATTCATACCTTTCCCAAGGGTATTAGCCCATAAGTGAATGTAATGGATTCGACTAGAATTCAAACTTGGCTCTCCAATTCCTCAATCGGAGCCACTATCCATTACTCCACCATGCCTCCATCTATATAAATACTATCCCCAATACTGATCAGTCTTCCCAATAAATATAGCAAATTTTAAGCAATCGCTTACACACATTTACATCTGAATATATAAAGTGTATCCAATATCTCATCATTAATTTTTTTTAAATAAAAAAACAAAAAAAATAAATCACTAACATGACAGAAATACCATACTAAGCAACATAAGTTCAAGTTTAATATTTTTTTTTCAGTTAGAAAAATTACAGTTACATAAAATCAAAACAAAAACCTTATAATGTTCACTAAATAGTGAGATTAAGCTGAAGTCTTAAAAAAAAAAATTATAACCAAAATATAATTACCTTCAGATTTCTTTCAAAGAATAAGCACCCAAGAATTAATATCTGGCTTAAACTTCATTTCTACTAACCTTGGTAGTGTTCTTCAGGTTCCTGGTAATTCTTTTTCAGTCGAGCTTGTTTTGCTTTCAATTCTTCCATCTTCTTTTTAATGGTGTTCAAAATTCCTCTTTCTCGTTCTTTCTGTAGTAACACTTCTCGAATGAGGATCCGGTTGATTAGCTCTGCCCCTCTTTTGAAAAAAAACATTTTTTTAAATTTCAAACTTTTACTTGGATTTTTACAACATGGCTGCCATTAACCAGCCAGGCTACAACCCACCATTTAAAGCTTTGGCAAGGACTTATTTTGAAAGCTAATCAATTTTTCTAACCTTTCATTGATTAGTAGCAAAAAATTGAAAATAAAAAACTAAAATCTAGTGCTCTTGCTATATATTTAGAGATCCTTGATAAAATACAAAGAAGAATTTTCAATGTTATTGGTCCTGACCTGCCATCTTGACTTCAGTCATTTTCCCACCACCATAATGTAGCCTCATTATGATATTTCTATAAATACTTTAATGATAAATGTTCTAATGAACTCTCCTCTATGGTACCTAGAATATGAATTTAAGCATGCTACTAGATTGACAGCAAGATCTCATCATTTTACAGTCAAAATGGCTAGATGTAACTATAAGTTCTATGCTAACAGTTTCTTGTCTCACACTTTTCACTTGTAAAACTCTCTTTGGGCTTTTTGCTTTCCAGTCAAGTTTAATCTTCAAAAATTTAAATGCAATGTCAAATCTGTCCTGTTAAATTCTGTTCTTTCATTGTTCTCACTCCTTAATGTTTTTCTTATATTCTTTCAGACTCAGTAACCCCATGTGTTAGTGGCTCTATTGCCTTGCTTGGGGTGAAATGATTAAAAAATAAAATTTACATGATTTCTAAGAAAACCCTGTTTACAAAGTCAACAGTTAAAGAAAAAATACACAACCTTCCATGATAAATTTCATCTGTTGCCCTTCTCAGCTAACATGACTATATGATACAATTTTTTTTTTTTAATCTTTTTTCTTTTTATGTGCCATGTCCTTTAGAGGGTGTAGGCGATCATGGCTCTCCACTTCCCCCCTATCCCTTGTAGCTCTCAATAAGTTTCATCCCTCTGCCACCTTCCCCAGGCCACGTTCTGTCATCCAATCTTTCATCCCGCCAGGCATGTCATATGTTGCTTTCCCTTGTGTCTCTTTTCCTTTGTTCAACCTGTGAGTATCAGATTCTCCAGGCCCTCCTTTCAAAAAGTAGTCTCAAATTGACCTACATTTTCTAAAATCCTTGGCAAATGTCTGAAACCACAGGTAGTACTGAATACAGTGTGTGGGGAAGGGGGATCAGTATTATCCGATATGTCCAATACATCATGGATGTGCAGGTGATGCAATGGTTAGTGACTCAGAATGAGAAATCAGCAAGCCAAGTTCAAATTCCAGTAAAGTTCATTACCTTCACTTTTGCACAAATATTCTTGAAACCATCCCTCACTCCAAGCTGGGAGTTAAATAGTAGGGTAGACTGGACTCTTTAGCCTTGATTAGGAACCAGTCTAGAAGGGCAACTCAAAATAGCAGAGCATTAATATTATTTTCTTTATTTTCCAGTGTACATTGACAAATTATTACTACTAGTTTCATGCGAATACCTGAAGAGTGTATGAAACTAGTACTAGTAGTGGTCAGTCAATATATGCCAGAAAGTAATTAAAAATCAACACCAGGCAGCAACAATGTTTCAAGCTACAACACAATCTTCAGGCCATGTGTTTTGTGTTTTGGTTTGATTATATCTGCTGTTCAATGGTGCATTATGGGTAGTAAGGTTTATTTTATTATCCCAACAGTTATTGGGTGTGTGTGATAACAGTTGTTTCAAATTAGTCTAGAGGTAATTGAGTAGACATGTGAACCTGTATGCAGTGATTTTTTTAGCTATTTTATAATGTTGTTTCTTAACTTCTTACTCATTATTTATTATTGGTGACTTAATTATTTGTTGATTGTCACCACTTGGTGTTGACCTCAGTGTTCACTTTTATATTCACATACGCTATCTCTGATATTGAGCACTTTTACCCATCAATTTAGCATACCTTAAAACTATTTTATGAGATATATATATATGACTAATAAAAGTCATGTAACTGACAGCAGATTTGTTCTTATTGTAAATATAAACAATTTTAGCATATGATTTTGTTCTTTTTCTGAATTGACAATTTTTACCTTTTCACTTAAAAGGAAACATTTTATAGTTCTTTGCCATATCCAAATTCCCAGCATCACTTAACTTGAATTTTGAAACCATTATTAAAGTCAAATCTTCAGAACTGTTTATTTCTGAGGTTGATCCCAGATAAGTGAAACTATAGATAAATTGAAACCACTTCATATAGAACAGCAAGTGATAAGTATAATAATTGTATTGAGAAAATTTCCTTTCCGGTAAAGTTTTCTTTTTTGTGGGGGGAGGGGGCACTTCCAAACAAGACAATCTTGTTATAATAAAAATAAAAACATGGATTAATCTTCATTTATAAGAATTTCTATGTTGAGGTTGCACTCATCATTAGACCACAGAAATCAAATTTAAAAATAAAATTAAAAACAATTTTTAAATCCATTTTAAGAGCAATCCAATAAAGATTTGCAAAATAAGAAAAGCAAATATATTTACTTACCGCGAAGCCAATCGTCTCTGAGCTTCCAGCTCAGCAACAATATGTCGGAAGTAATGTGAACTATAAACTCTTCGCTGTAGTAGGAGGAAGGCAAAACAAATGACATCCCATAGGAGTCCATTTTTATCTACAGAACATGTGCTGTTGGGTTCTGAAAAGATACAATACATTAATCAATGACAAATTTTACTTCAGTAAATATCTTAATAAATGCAAATATTTGATCACTAAAGATGCTTTGCTGAAACTAAAATGTCATTAAGGGAAATTGAGAAACAAATTAAGGAAACAAAGAAAAGGACTGAACAGTTACATAACATCTAATCTTTGATATAAAAGTGAATGCTGGACATTTTGTCAGATATAAAGAAAAGACTTGAAGCAATAGAGATTTGGTTCTGAAATCTTACTTTAAAATACTATAATGAGGAATTAGTTTCTTTGAAAGATAAGGCAGTAATAAAATAAGCATATCCCCTGTCCCCTCTAACTTGTAACTATCCATCACAATAAAATAAACGTTTTTCAGCACTAAAGCTGAATGAATCAAATAAAGTTTCATAAGCTTCTACTTAGAGTTGTTACTACATTACAGATGAACTGAAGTTAGAGGGGAAAGAAAAAAAAAAAAACAAAGAAGTCAATTAGTTATTTTGCAGTGTGCCAATAGCCATACAACATTTTGGTAGCATTTGAAGCTCATCCACATATTCTCCAGAAATATCACTTTCAAAAATGCAACACACCTTATCAGGTTGATGGTTCCAATATGTTCCAGATATTGAATTCATTAAATTAAAACCAAACGTTTTTTTTGTTTTTTAATCAACAAATACACAATTTACCTGAAAAGGAGCATCTCAAATACTTTTGATAACCATTTTATGATGCTATGAATTTATTTTAAAGTTTTACTAAAGCAATGCTGGAAATCTAACACCACAAAATGATTAAAATTAGCAACAAAAGATATTTTGAGTGCTGTATAGAGAAACATAGAATATTCTTTAGTGTCTGCAATCAATATAAAAGTATAATCACTATTTTGGAAGGACATTAAAAAGATTATACATTGTACTCCTAAAAGAAATACTGTTAAAATATGTGTTTAATGAATGGAAAAGCATTTAAAAAAAAATGAAGCTTCTCATTTGAAGCCTAAAGTTAGGTACCTCCACGAAATCGCTAAAAAAAGAGCATAGCTTGATGAAAAAGACGCTAACCTTGCCGAAAACAAAATTTTATTGTCTAAATGCTTATGTTATTATTAAGAGGAAAGACCAAAGTTTTTTTTTTTAATTATTTTTAAAAAAATTTTCCTTCTTTTTAGAAAATTCTAAATTTTGATTAAAAAAACCTTGTTTCTATTTGTATCAAGCGAACTAGTAAATAACAGACAATTTTTAGCACATTTTTTTTGGTATGACACATTAATTTGAAAAATCGTGCAAAAATAGAAATAATTATCGGATGTTAATGAAACTTTCAGGAACTATTCACAGATGATCGAAATTATTATAAATATGTGTTTTTTTATGAAAGTCATGGTAGAAATATTTTTTAAAATATTTATTACCCCCCATAACTAATTTTATGAAAACGCTAGAAATTGATCGCATCGGTTTTAGTGATTACAATAATTAAAAGCACAGGGCTTTGAGGAATGCAAATCATGTTTTTTTTGTTATTAATTGGATCCGCAGTACCTGAAAATCAGCTCTGAATTGTAACATACAAAACTCAATAAAACAAAGATATTATTTAATTTCAAATGCTTTTATTTGCTTTTAGTTGTTTTTATGAATATGGACAATATTTTCTGAAAGCAAAAAATTTTTTCAATGAAAAAATGAATTTTTAATACAATTATTTGTTATTTCATTAATTATAATAGATTTTACATTTAAGTTGTTAAAATATTATAAAATTAGTTAAAAGCCGCATCGGCTTTCATAAGTGTCCTTATGAGAGATCTTTTTTTAGTGCGTTGTAAATTGTATCATTTTGACTTAAATTATAGTATTTTATGTACAATTCTGATAAAATTTCATAAGAAAGGTACCTATAAATTAATTAGATACCTTTCTTAAGAAATATGAAATTTAATGTCACTCTTAACAGTTTTATTTTAATTTCTTTTACAATATATTTCCCATAAAGCATCATAAACGTAAAGGTGAAAGCTAAGTACAAAAAAAAAAAATTAGACCGCTGAAAGTTTTTCGTTAAAAATAACGAGGTAAATAATTTGTTCACGTAAATGTAAATTATTTCACTTTTCTCCTTCCGTAGAACAAATTAGCCTCATGGAATTCATAAATATATCATTCATCACATGTCAAGAGACGCGAAAGTTTATGACCTGCTTCGATTTATTTTCAAATTACATCTTTTTGGCCCAAAAGCTAAGTTAAGTTTGGTTCAAAATATTTTAAATAAACATTATAATTTCTGATTTTCTTAAAATAAGTTTTGAAAAAATGATAATTGATATTTAAAAAAATTTCAAAGTCAGATTTCCAGTTTTTTTTTTAAATGGAAAAAAAAATGGTCAATTTTGCTGACTCAAAAAAAAACTAGATTTTTAACGAAAATTTCGGACGTGCTAGGAATGATTAAAAAATGGAAAAAAATACCCCAAAAATACTTTGACCTTTCCTCTTAATAATAACAAACATTTAGACGATAAAATTTTGTTTTCGTCAAGTTTGGCGTCTTTTTCATCATGCTATGCTCTTTTTTTAGCGATCTCGTGGAGGTACCTACCTAAAGTATTTTTTAATCTACTTTTGATTAATTGTATAGTTTGAGGATGTCACAGAAGTTATACTGGTCTAGAAAAAAGAAGCCAATGTCAAATAACTGACAATTCTAAGCAGAATATAAACTCACAAGAGTTCTTTAGAATGCCAAAAAAAGACTATCTTCAGAATTATTGAAAATAAATTAGCAAAAACATTCACAATTGAGTTTCAGCTAATTTTGTACTTCATTTTAAGATAAGTAATCATCAATATACTTTGCACCTATAATAGCATCTATAATAATCAAATGAGAACAATAGTTTGAAATAAAGTCGATTGATCTTCACCTGTTCAAAAATCCAAATACCATGTTACTTAATTTCTACATTAAGATAATCTACTCATTACTGGTCTATGAATTTCATATCAAGACATTTTTAAATGGTGAAGAAGGCTTTCTTTTTCAATAACTTATACATTTCATTTTATATTTATTCAAATTTCTTCCAGATAACCAAACTCTTTAGCAGCAAATCAGTATTATATATTTGCATATAAAAATAAATTCATACATTCTTGATTTAAAAATAAATTAAAGGGCTCTTAAAAACACACACACCTTTTGAACTTACATTGTCAAGAAAAGATAACTGACAATTATTAAAATATCAACCCACAACAAAGAAAAATATGAAAAAGGTGATTAAATATAAAAACATAAGATATTTTTATTTTCATGTTTTTTTTTACAACTATATTTTTCTAAGTGTGTATGACTTTTACAGTCCTTGTTTGTAGTTGTTAATATTAAAAGAAAAGAGATTTCTTCATGTGTATGTGCAAAAAGGAAGAGGCAAGGGAGAAAGTGTGGAGTAAAGTGTAAGTGTTATGTAGCTTGGTGAGGAAGACAGGTAAATGAGCAAGGGAATTTCTTTTAAGTCTAGTGTCATGAAACGGTTTCCATCTGTCTCTCCTTACTTGTTTGTTAGTCTAGAAACTTTGCTTAAATACTCTTCAAAGGCATCACAAAGCATTTTTATTGTTGGCAAGAACAGTTGAAAAATGTTAAATATTTCTTTTCAAAGCATCCCTTTATTAACTGGAATGTGCAATCCTCCAACTCAGAAACCATTTTTTGTCATTTGGTATTTGATTGTCTTGGTGTTTATTTTCATCTTCACTCCATAAATTTACCAAAAGGTTACAAACAAAGCAAAGAAGAGAAAAATCTATGGAGGATCAGTGAAAGGGAAAAATGAATTTTAAAAGGACTACAAATTCTAGTCATCCAATAAACAATAAAAAATAAAAACTTTTCTCTCTTGAGCAACTTATTTCCTTGTTAATTATGAAAGCACATAAACTTAAAGTTATTTCATTCTTACCTTCAATATTAGGACTCAAACAAGTGATGCCAAATAACTTTATTACCAAACAGGAGTCATTTTTCAACTTGTACACACATCCAACCAGCTGTGAACAAGACAAATCAAAATTAAAATAAATATAAAAGAATTTCTTACCAAATTATTATTACTATATTTTTTTTTAACTTTCATTATAAAAAATTATTTTCAAGTGCAAAAATAGAATATTACTTGGATGACATTTTCAAAACGACTTTTATTTTAAGTATCATACCTCTCTAATAGGAAACTGTATACCTGCTTTGTTGACCTCATATGTGACAACATCTATCGGGACTTCATTAGAAATCACCTTCCAAGCTCAGAATACACAATTTAATAGAATAACTGTATCGATCTACAGAATCTTACATGTCTGGTGAGGACCCCAATATGGAAACATTTCAAGCCTCATCAGAAGTACAAGAAGGAAATGAGAGCTCCAGTCTATTTAATCTCTTAATAGACTATGCTCTTTACAAACACATATGTGAAGAGATGGGCACTGATCATCTAAGCATTCCATACCACATCTCAATTGAGTTTAGCAATAGAAGACAATGTTCCTGCTTTCCCTTCTGAGGACAATGTACTGATGATGAAGGAGGTTATGCTGATGACATAGGTATTTATAGTTTGGATAAGAATGATTTTGAACAGAAAATCAGCATCCTCTATTAAGTGTTCTAAGAAATGTGATTGAAGACAAACATTTCTAAAACAGAATCTACGATCTGGAATTGGAATGAAAGCAGTGATGGCACCTACCCTGAATCCATCATAAAAATTCAGGATGTGGAATTAGTAAATACTAATTACTTCAGATACATTGGAATAGGGATCAGTTATAACAAATTAAGCATTGAATAAAAATTGAATATAGAATAGGCTGTGCCAAAGGTAGTTTCACCCTAAACTGCAAATTGCTACAAAACCAAAACATCAACTTGAAAGCTCGAGTCATATTCTTAAATAACCTCGTCAAATCAAGACATTCATATAAATGTCAGGCATTGCAACAAATCTGTTCAGACATATCTAAACTCTCAGCTGTATACTACTGCTTCCTAAAAGCAATAGTCAAATAAGGCTTTGAGCAAGTGAACCCAAAGGCTTTGGCAAAGATTATCCCTCTCTGAACATTGAGTACTAGTGCTACAGATTCTCAAACAAAGAACTTTACCAAATAGCAGAAATAAAGAATTTTATCAAACCAAAATTTTTTTTTTTCCACATGACTTTACCATATTTAGATTTCATGGCAGCAATGTGGTTATACTTTAAAACTAGGAACACCAACAAAAAAGATTATGCCTTGAAGAATATATAGAAATTTGACTACAGGATATGATAACATTTTTTCTTTAACCACATACAGACACACTCATTTAAATCATTCTAGTTATAAAATTAGGAAAGGTTGTATGCAAGCGTACTGACAAGGCTCAACGGTGATCAGTCAAGAATCAGTGTTTTAATGTGATATAGTCATAAACCCTGATCCATGGAAATAAAGTAAGTAGTAATATAGATAAATCTATTACTGATTATTAAGTAAAAAATGCTTTTTGAACATTTTTTCAAAGTCATATACACTACAGTATTTAGCATAACTGATTTACCTGAAGACTGGCTTTTGTGAATAGTACAAGGAATGTATACCCAACCAGAAAATTCCACCTGAAATATAAGGAAAATATTTTATTAAAATTTATCTTATTTCAACAAGAGTAGGAGAACAAAAGAAATACAGACAGGTTCAAAGGAGTATTGAAGAGACAAAGAAGTATTTTATCTATAAACAATGAGATAAGTAAAAAGAAACACTTGCCACCAAAGGAGTTTCCTGAGTGGTTTCAGGAGGAATTCCCGGCCAAACCACATGAAGCAGAAAACTATGATTACATATCCAAGTCCAAATAGATTAATTCTGTTTGTACCAGCAAAGAATACTATTGCCATGGTTACCCAGAAAAGGTAGTAGAATATAGCATATTTGGCAACATCCAGGTAAGAACTAAAGACAAAAAAAAGAAAAAAGATTGGTTAAAAAATTATAACAGTGGAACTTGATAACAGGACAATTTACTTATTAGAAAATAAAGAAAAATAATTTAATGTTTGTTAATATTATATATATATATATATATATATATATATATATATATATATATATAGATATATAAAAAGCTATAAAGGTAGAGAATTATGTATAAATTATTTGGATGCACTTTTCTACAGAAAAATTAAATCATTTTTCAAAGACAGAAGATTCTCAATGATGTAACTGAAATTAAATAGGCAAGTGGAAAATTTTAAGAGAAAAATTCTTCAGATAATGAATTCAATACATAATGTTTCTCTTTTCCTTTATAACTATCTTATACCCACCAGAGTGTGAACAGATTATGTTTGGATATCATTTTAAAATAAACTAAAACTATTGTATTTAACAAGACCAAATGACTTATTTAGATATTTTTGTTCTAATATGGTCACTAGCATGACATAATATTTCTTATTTTTCTTTAGACTAAGCCATTTAGCCAAATGATTCACAACATTTGATTCCACCTTAATAAATATATGAGAGTTAGTTACATATTAAATACTTTATGTAACTGAGAAAATTATCAAAAGATATGTCTATAAGGGTTAGACCAAATGTTATAATATTACAGACTGACTTGTAATTAAAAAGACAAATTAGTCTAAAATTTGATTCTTTTAAATATACATTTTAATAACATGCCCATATATATATTGAGTTTACTAAAAATGTGTCCTCAATCTATTTTCTTACATCACATAATGTCAGAGAAGAAATGTTTCTTGTTTTATGAATATTATACATATTTTTTAAGAAGAAATATTAAGAAATTTTTTAATAACATTTAAAATAAATAAATGGTTAACTAAAAATAATTTTTGTAAAATGAATTAAATGTTAAAAAAAATTAATTTTAGGAAATACAATTCAAAAGAGCAAGAAACAAAACTGTAAAAGAAAAAATACTATAAAAGAAAAAATACTGTAAAAGAAAAAAAATAAGCGAGTCATTCTGATTGGCCAAACCTGAAGTCATCTTGTTAACAGTAGAGCAAATAAATATAAATAGTGACAAAGGTTTAAAAAAAAAAAAAAAAAAAAAAACATTTTAAACTGGCAGGCAAATGTCCTATAAAAAATTTAATAAAACAAAAATGTTGAAACCTGTAACATAATAGAAACAATGTCTGACCAACATATACAACTTAAGAGAATTTTATAAGACAAAAAACTTCAAGACAGAGTTAAAGATTATAACTGAAATCATTCCAAAAAGTAGAAATGGAAGTAATATGCATAACTGATATTTGAATTGATATTCAATTTGAATTTGATGAGAAAAATATAAAATCATACTAGCTAGGCAAGCAGGTGGCAGTAATGTCAAATAGGCACCCAAATAGACCATAGCAAGATTATGCATGTCAGGCTAACTACAAACATCAACATTGATGAGTTTGCTAAGACTATTATCTTCCTCTCTTTATATTATCAAAATATTTCAAATCACTACATTCTCTAAATATCGGGAAACATTGTGCACATAAAGGTTTAGTTACTCATTAAGATTCATATATTCTCAAATTATTTATGGTCTAAATGTTTCTTTACTAGAAGTTGAAATTGCATATAAGGAAAATGTGTTCTAAAACTTGTGTCTATATTGGCATTTATGGTTTTATTCAGTAGTTTACCAAAATTGTATGATCTAGAATTGTTCCATTTCTAAACTTTCTCAGGGAATTTTTATCTGTGTATCAAAGCAAATTATTTAGTTATAACTGACCTATCTGCAAATACAATTGAAAGATTGCTATGTCATTCTTTGTGTATTCTCAAAAAAATTCATACTTTTCCTTATATTCAAAATTCAGAGAAAAAAACTTTGACATATTTCTGATGTAAACAATATTAGTTAATATTAATTTTTGATCAGTATTATAGATTATTGGGTTTCTTTTTATCACAACACTTAGGTTACTCTTACATTTTATGACTTTACAACATTTAGAAACCAACAGAATAATATGGAAGAAATATTAGCCAAAAATTAATGAAAATGATTCATCTCAGAAATTAGAAAAAAAACTTATAATTTCTTTAACAACAGTACCCATCAAAAATGACAAGAATTCTTTTTCCACATATGGATCACACTTCAGCTAAAAACTTTATATCTGTGCACTCTAAGATAGAAGTTTCACCTCTGGGCACTCTGTTTAAGGTCATTTTATATATAAGCTGGGTTCAGTAGCTTAAAAATTTCCATACATTTTTCCTTCTCCCTATATATCAAATATAGATTTGTTGGGAGGAGAGTAGCTTGGAAGATAGATCCTTACAAGGTTATTCTTGCCTTCCCCCAAAACTTCCATACTCTTTAACTTGCAGAGCTCTATTAAAGAACCCAGCGATGAAGCATGGAAGAGGGAGCTCTAGATTCATGCCTTCTTTTAAGAGCATTAGCATGACATGACAATAGTGAACAAACAGAATTTTAAATTATTTTTTATTAGTTTCAGTTATTTATCCTCTCTTCCTTATTATTTCCTTGTTTAGATTATTATTAAAAACAGGAATTTAATTGTGTGCGTGCATCTGTGCAAATAGCCTAGGCAAACTCACAAAGTCTAATGATATGCCATATATATATGAACTAAGTATACAGACATCCAAGTGTAGAGAGGCAAAGCTGGTAACATTGACAGGCAATAAGAGAGCTTGAAATGAATAAATATAGCAAAAGTAGCCAATAATAAATAAATAAAAATCCATTAAAAAAAATGTACATCAATTTAAAAAAAATTGAAGGAAAAATTTTTAATACAAATAAGAAATTATACAGATAAAAAGGGGAGACAAATCAGTGTTAATGTTTTTAGTTTGAAAACTAAAACACCACAGAAAAAATGTTTTTTTAATAGTCTAACAGTTTTTGCAAATTAAAATGTTTTGTTTTTAATTCTCATTAATGACAACTCTTAAAGTTTTGCTTCTCATAATGCAAATACATGTAGTTACCCTTCCCATCTTCCTTAGCCCATATTAACTAATGTTCAATTACAACTTTGAAAAATATCTGTAGACACATTTCAGAAAACTTAGACATTAAGTCATTACTAATGAATCCAATCGGGAATGAGATGCCCCATTATTGAGTTCCTAGGTAATCTAAATTTAGTAAAAATGATATTCAAAATTTAGCTCAGCTATGAAGAAATCTGGTGAAATCATACTTATATAAAAGTTCAGGAGCAAAGATTCCATATCATTTCATAAGTGAAAAATTCAAATCTTTTTGAAAGGCTACCTTAAGAGAACACTGTTATCACCAAATACCAATGAGCTACTACATAAAAAATAGGTAAAAAATATGACAGTTAATAGGTCTTCAATACAGAATAAATATAAAACAAAACATCAATGATGTATAAAAAAATCCTAATATTTTATGTACCAAAATAGGAATAATTGTATATCAATATCCCAAAATTGTCATAGTTTTCAATTACCTTGCTCTCATAGACATTAGTTCTGTAAACTATAAACATTCTTCTCTAAACAAACCAATTCTGAGCAGCCACAATAAAAATACTGGTAATTTCAACCAACCTTTCAGCAAAATTTTTTTTTTTATACAGTTTCAAAAATAAGTTTAAAAATGACCAAACTTTTTCATTGGACCAGGATACAAATTTAAAACAAATTCACATTTCCATTTGTAACCAGTTATAATTTCTAAAAAACTTATCAAATTACATTTTCCAAACAAAACCACAATACAAAATCATTTTGTATTAAATACATATCTTTATTATGCACCATGTCCTCAAAGGACATAAACGATCATGGCCCTCCACAACTACCTGTTCTTTGTATCTCTTAATAAATTCTCTTTTTGCTATTTCTCTTAAACCCTGTCTCACCATTCATTTCCTCAAGCCCATCAAGTATGTTATGCACTGTTTTCCTCTGTCCCTCTTTCTCTCAAACTGTCCTGTGAGTATCAGATTTTCCAAGCCCTCCTTCCTCATTACATGCCCCCAAAATTTCAACTATCTCTTCCGGATATTAAATATAAGTTTCCTTTTTGTTTCTATTTTCTCTAAAACCTCATCATTGTTCACATGTTCAGTCCATGGTATCCACAGCATCTTTCTGTAGAACTGAATTTTTGTTGCTTCAATTCTTTTTCATTTTTGAGAAGATTGTCCAGAATTCACTGCCATATAGGAGGACAGATATAACAGTTCAGCTAACAGTTTCTAACAAAGCCTTTCTGTCTCTGCTTAAGTTTTGAAATGCATCTTTGTCTATCCCAATGTGTCTCCAGATTTCAATGTCACTCTTTCAGTCCTTTGTTAGAACACTTCCTAGATATTTAAATGCTTCCCTGAAAACTACAATCATGGTTTCTTTTATTCCATATAAAAAATAAAAACAGGAAATTTGAATTTTTCAAGTTTGGTAAAATAAATACTTCCAGAAAACACACACCTCATTGCAATAATAAATAAAAATCTAAACAGAACAATTACAGAACTTGAAAAAAAAAAAAAATCCAACACAAAAAACAATTCTTTGATGACAATAAAATAAAAAGTGATAGGTTTTAATAATGTAAATAAAGACTTGCTATAGGATAGTGGCTAGAAGATTAGTCCCTCAGGACCAATTCTTACTAAAGGGTCTATATATTCAATATGATACTGTTCTAGTTGGCTTTGCACAGCAGATAACTATATTAGTACAACTTTTAAACATTGGGAAAAGAGTTTCACAAATGTGCACATCAAACAGGTAAAAAAAAAAAAAAATAACTGAGAAAATTCATTTAAAAAAAAAAAAAAAAAAGAATAAAAAGGGAGGGGTGGGGATTATACATATTTTCACTTTAATTAGATACAAAAATCACAAATTATTTTTATTATCTAAAAGAGTTAAAATAAAGAAAAAAGCAAAAATAA